GCGAGGAAATAAGAAAATGTATTTAATATCTTATTTTTTTCAAACCCACCCCCTAAAAGCTGGAAATTACTAACCTGATTTCTGTCTGGTTCATGCTATCTCTCTGTATTTGTCTATACCAATTCGATTGATGGATACAGGATCATATCTCTTTATGTTTTTGAAAAGAGTAGTAATTACATACCCCAAATAGTTGTATTTTGTCCTGAATCCTACACCTAATTTCGATTCATTTAAAAAAATAAATGCCTAAAATAAGTGATATATACGTTATTTTAAAAATTACTTATTCTGAGACTTGGAAATTGGAGCTCCGTTGGAGCCCGGAGCCTGATACTTGTCTCTGGAGAGTAGAGAACTGGAGAATGGTCTGAACTCTCTGGAGACTGGACTCTGGGACTGGAGAAGTGGAGAGTGGAGACGCACTTGCACTTTCCTATATGTATTTGTTTTATTTGTTTTTATAAATATTTTAACAGTATTATTATATGAGGTGCTTAGTAAATACATAAATACATATTTTTAAAATATAGTAAGAGATAAAAGAAACCAATCCCTTCTTGTACTCTTGCGGATATATAAATATGTAAACAAATTTAATCATCAGCCACTCATCACTCGCTTTAAATAGAATCAAGAAATTTGCGTATTACAGTGTTTCAATTTCAAAAAATATACATATCGTGTCGCTCAAGACACAAAGGCCATATTTAACCCTCTCGCTTCGCACATCACGGCTGGCCTCACGGCTCAAGGGCCATGACCTCATTTCAAGAGGCTCAAGGGACAAACAGGCAAACACTGTCCGCACTTCCCGGATTAAAAAAAAAGACTATTTTTAGGATTAGTTTGTTGTAAAAAGAAAGCAAAAAACCCCGAATTTTTACAATGATTGATCCACTAGACCAAAAGCAGACTACATATTCCATCGTGCTAAAATGTATATTACACTCGCCGAAACTGAAATAAATAGTCACTGTTGCTTTACTGTACTACAAGTGCAGAAAGAAGCATCTGCACAACTGTGCCATGATGTTAAAAATTTACAGCCTGCTCGCATATGCAGGATACGCCGTGGCCATTCAATGTTATCAAGCGAAAGTAGGAAACGGATGGGAATGTGCAAACAGTCGGAGATTTTACAATACTGAGGCTAATCTAAGTGAAGTATTGAGCGAATCCTTGTTCGATCAAACTTGCTGCAAACAAGATGCATGTGCAACCCATACTGAAGGCCTAGTTCTCAAAGTATACAACCAGTGTCCCGCTGTTGGCGGCGGCTCATATGCGAGCGCTAGTCCCTCACTAACTCCTTGAGCTTCAGGTACAGCAGCTGCCTCAGGAACTCCTTCAGCCTCCGCGTCAAGTGCAGAAACGTCTTCGGTTTCGGCAAGAAGTACACCCCCATGGTGTCTACAAAGCTCCGAACTTTCGAATTGCGAGCAAACCTATAATTGTAATGAAACAAATCCTGATTGTTTCTGTTACAAGAACAAGGAGACAGATCCACTGTGTGCTGCTTGTCATTACAACTATTGTGATCAATGCTTCAGTGACCAACAGGACAATTACAAACCTGTACAACAATCGCGATGCATCAACTGTGCAGATGCCCACAATATCGATTCGATCGACTTCGTATGTACCAAGTGTGAGCACGAAAAAGGTTGCACTCTAGGTACTTTGAACGGTCAAACCAAGAATAGCAATGAATTCCAGGTATTCGAAATGGAGTGGTACCAAAACGATGCTGGCCTATGGTCGTTAAGAAAAACCACGGGCGTGGCAGTCAGCACGAATCACGATTACATTAACCATCTCGAAGAGAATGGTTGCACGAGCGAACGCAACAGTGAAGGCCAATGTGTAACAATGACCGATACCCTTTTCCAACTGTCATGGCCGGGACCAACTCCAGCACCGACTCCCACACCTTCTGTTTCCGAAGGTACAGTAATTGTAGCTAGATCCACGCCACTGAAGTGTCAAAAAGTCGGCAACGAATTGGTAAATTGTTTGAATAACAACTGCCGAAATGTTGCAGATGCTGACTGCGTTTGTTACAAGGATAAGGAGATCGACACGAAGTGTCAGAATTGTAATGACAGTGGGTGCGGTGGATGCTACAATTCCAACACTAACTATCAACCGTTCCAGAAATCGCCATGCGTGGACTGCGCGACAGCTCACAGTGGAACCGACGGATTCGTTTGCACTCAATGCCAACAAGGGAAGGGATGTACACAAGGTACGTTGAATGATCAAACCAAGTATTCGCAGGACATGAAGGTGTATGAGATGGAGTGGTACATAACTTCCACTGGTGAGTGGTCTGTCCGCAAAACGGATGGAGTCTTTATATCCACTGACCAGAATTACATCAACAACGTGCAGAACAATGGCTGCACCGATAACAATTGCTCTGAGTTCACTGAAACGCTATACCAGACGAGTTGGTAGACCATTCGACTATTTTTTATTTACTTATCATAACTTGTAGCCTCGTATGTGTTACTTGGTCGATCATAAAGTAAAACAATAAACGCCTACTGCCGAGGAAAACGTGTAGTTGTATGGGCAACGTGACTGTACGTGTTGGTAGCCTATAAAAATAAGCGCATTATTACAGAACGTAGGTAATTGCGCCGTGCAGGCGATCACAAACAATTGATTAGCCCGATAGCCCAGTATTCAGAAATTTGTCGTATGGTGTGTTATTATTGCAAACATAATGGTATATAAGTCGGAATGGCATAGCGTATGTGGCGTGGTATGGGCAGCTGCGCTACTCTGTAGACGGGGGCTCTAGCCAATCATGCTAAAGTAATTTGAGTGTAAAGAATGATGCCGCCGCGGATCTTTGCTCTGCTGTGAGGCATATAGTTATACATGGTACGTACTAATAACGCACAACTTCTCGGTCACTAACTGATGCCTCTAGTATGGCGTGAGCGGCAGCGTTATGGTGCCGGTGTATAGACGAAAGTGTTGAGTTGCAAGTTTGTTTTTAAACGAAGCATAACATTTCGCTATTGAGCCGTGTGACCGACTAGAGAACCGCACGCGAGGAACACGAGTGGAAATATATATTGGCCATCAATTACTTACGATACAGCTGCTTATTTATTGACATGTTAGGCAACGGTGACTCTAACCCTTTATTCATACTCAAGATGTGAGCGTGGTTGTGAGCTACTGCGATATTCTGTCGATGAATTGTCTCACCAACTATATATACGCAGGATAGTCTGCAAAAGCACAAAATCCTGTTTTTCGCAGAAGCTTCTGCATTGAAAAGCATACCGCATGTGGAAAATTCACTTGGTCTTTGCTTACAATGCGTACTTGTAGGCAGGGATCAGTGTAGCCTTGACGATATGTATAGGGTTTTCTATCGAACAACAATTTGGTAGTGTTCGTCTGTATAACCTTGTCAACTGGTTCGAGATACAAATAAGCACATTCGTATCAGGTTTAAAGCGAAATTTTTACGATTCAAGATATGGGGTCTTTTTCATTTCAAATGATTATAGGGTACAACTGATGCATTGTGAAACTCTATATCTCAAGATTGACAACAATAGAAGAGTGTCAGATGGCTTGATACAGTGTAAGCGGAATAACTCTGAAACATCCACTCGGATCGGCAAGTCAATATTAGGCCTTTCCATTTTTGTGTGAAATAGTTGTGACATGAAAGGGATAATAATCACTGCGCGAGTTTTCATATAAGTAAGCAGTTCAATGTAGGCATAAGCACTCAAAAGACAGCTTGTATATAAATATACGTATAATTCCTTGGGAGAATATAACGTAATGAGCGTATATAACTTGTGGGGAATACAGCTGTGCTTTGACACCTATACTGATGCAGGTATAAATATATTATAGTTGAACTAAACTCGACTTTCACAGATGCAGGTCCGTTTCGAAATGATAGATACCAGCACACACGCAGGCTAAGCCATTGGCTTGCTCATACAGCTAAGTTATACCCAGTTGATTCTCAGGCAATTCTCAAAATATTTTGCACTTTCCTATAGTACGCAAATAGAACCACTGACTTTTCATATTTGTGCCCAAGATCCGGGTCTCGTCTTCATAGCAGCAGGCAAGTGTACGACGTGATAGGTGCCAGTAAACACCTGGGCGTCAAAGTAAATGCAAAGGTCATCTTGCGCACACAATTTTGGTATACTGTACCAGGTGAATGCTTAAGTATTGGCACATGCAGCACCCAACCGAATTAAAGACTAGATTCAGATATTCGGCAAAGTGCTTTAAGCAGACTTGAAGAATGGAGTTCGAATATATGTATGGTTTTAAATTTATTAGATGTGGATCGAGTGCGATAAAAGCCATGACAATATTACGCAATAGACGCTTTTCAGTACTAGTTGCACCACAGGCACGGCGGATAGAGAATTATATCAACTGTAGTATTCTATCTACAATCTGTATGACAACAGTGTGTTAACTAGTATATAGTCCGCTGTAGCCCTTCACAAGCCGTGTCTGCACGCTTCGCGCCTTCGCTCCTTCGCTAACAGATCACCGAATTGGCACGTTAATCCAGATAGAATCACTACATTGATCTTGTCTATGAGTGCCCTTCTCTCGACTGGGTAGTGTAGTAAAAATTCCTTTGTTTTCATTTTATGTTGAAACTATCGTTTACTAGATACGAAATGTTTCAGGTTCTCTTAGATACATTGTGAAAACTCACAACTAATGAGGTTGCACTGATCCTGGTTATAGGTGCCTAGATCTTTCTTGTCTAGTGTTACAGTGTCTATTACTCGTATTTAATGCAGCGTTACGACTTATATCAGACACCCAGAGCTAAAACTACACACACTTGTGAGCTTAGAAGTCTGATGGAAGGTAGTGGCAATACTAAATCAACGTATTTTCACTCTCTCGTGTAGATATTTACGTATGTCAGCTTCATGGATTCATACTATGGAGGTAACTACGCGTTCTTCTGAATACCACGCAAAATCCTATAAACCTGCCCAACAGTTTGAGGGTGTTAATGATAAGTGCTTCATGGATACGTACCCATATACAATCCAAAAAAACAGTTTCAGCCGGATATTTGATATAGATGTTTATTTTGAACTACAATGTGGTTTGTTTTTTTAGATTGTTTTTTTGTGTGTATATAATATACGTGCATCCTGTTTGACTTTGGCAATGTGCGTATATATACTTTTAAGACATATAAGCTGTTTCCAACAAATTTCACCATTCCCCAGGAATATTCGAGGGTGTATTTGCTGATGGTGTTGGTGAGTGAGTGAGTGTTGAATAAAAAAGGCAACTGATCTACAGTCGGGTCTGTCACGACGGAAGACGCGACCGCTGCGATGGTGTTCAAAACAGGCTATCACTGGGATGAAAGGTAAGGCATGTACATTGTGAAAATATGTACGGACGGGTGTAAGTTGTCAAGTGTAGTAATGATATAATTCCATGTGTATACTCGGCAAGCTGTTGAACTTGAATTGATCATCTGGTATATAGACGGTATTCATAGCGTGTCTCATTTAGAAGGCTATGCAATATTTTTACAATTTCTTTCGTGTGTACATGAACACTCAGTATGCGTTACCGCAGATAATGTAGGAAGGTTATTGCGTGTATATTTGATTACTCGGCAAACTAGTTTCACTTTTTTGTCTGTTTTTTGTTGAATGACAGCGCTAGTATATGCAAATACTCAAGCTGGTGTCACATATTTTCGTTATTGTTGAACGATAATGTGTTTTTGATAAACAGTTATGTGTATATATGTGAATGCTCGGTGAGCTGTCTCCGCAAATGATTGTGGAATCATTAATACTATTGTGGATATTAACTCTGTATCTAGGCGTGTTTTCGTAGCATCCGCACCCAAGTTGTTGAAGCACTGTCAAGATGTGTATCATGAAGGTTGCAAGTTGTGTTCTAACTTAGAAAGCCTGTCTATTGTATTATACTGTAGTGTATATCACCATGGATCGCATCGTTCTCAACTATATATCCCATCCATTGCTTAGATACAACTTTCACGACACCGGTACAAATGCATCAGCACAACCGGCGTCATTCTGGCCATCTCAAGGTCTTGTAGTGCAGGTAAGCGTACTATGTAAAAATCTAGAATGTCCGCAGTGTTAACTGTAGTGTAGACAATAGAGTCTTGCATATATATATATATATATATATATATATATTTATATATGACACATCGGGCTTAAGAAATAACATTGAACATTATCCAATGTATACACTAAATAATTATATGGACATACTATTATACTCCATGAAATAACGCTATGGCTTCATTAAAACACAACTCTACTCTCGAGCAATATACGTGTAAATAGCGTCTGGTCAGAATTTAAACTGTTCTTGTCTGTGGTTTAGAACGACAGTCGGGAGGATGTTTTAGAGCAGCTTCTCCATGGAGCTACCATCGAGACGTATCGTCTAATTAAGTAGTCGGTTCCTATCCTTCTACTCTACCGTTGCATCGACCTTGTCAGACCAAAGCTCCGAATATCGGGCTCGCTTCATGTGAACTCCATAATTTAAATCGCTTTTCAGCCCCTGAAACACCCCGAGAACGCCTTGGCGAAAGCAAGGATTCACACTCTGCTGTCAGTCAGTGGTATGTGTCTGTATTGCTGATGTTTTCTTTCCGGTTTTACTTATCTATCGGCTGATTGCTGATGTTTTCATGCCATTTTTACCTATTTATCTGCTGAGTAATCGTCTATAGGCGTTCGCTGGTATGCGTATGTACGCTCGGATTTTTTTGGTGCTACGTCAAAGATTTGACATTGCTACTCGACGTAAGATATACATATATTGTCTATTGCTTAAGCAGTGTAGTACACTTTTAGATGCCATTTGGCTTAAGGACGTAATACTCATACGTCACCTTAGCTTTGTATGTCGGCTATTCCTCCGGAAGCTGACTCGGTAGAAAATCAATATCTAGATATTCATTCAAGACACACCTCATTCGAGGTCACTTTTGTATGTATAATATATATATATATATATATAAATATTCACGCACACACGCATTTATATATATATATATATACACA